AAAACCATTGCCTTGAATTGCACCAAGAAAGCTACATGAAATTAGAATCATGCTAGAAAAAGTTATAGAGTCCTCAAGTTAAAGATTTTCCTTAATAAATATTCCTAAGAAACATTTCAAGTTAGTTGAGAATGCTGTTCCTAAATATAGGTTTGGTATGTCTCTTACACCTTACTGCAGGAGAGGTGCTGGAACTTACACTGAAAGTTTTAGAAAAGTGATAGAAATTTGTTATATTAACTTAACTATGGAGTTGAGTGGACAATGGTGACATGTAGGGGGTGCACACAAGTGCACGTACACCCCCTGAGATTGGAGATGCACCCCTTGAAAAAAGGAACCACCAACACTGCTGGCGGTGCCTGCAGGTGGTTGCCGCTCACCCCCCCACCCCCAGGCAGTCCCCAATCACCGTGGCAGCTGCCAACACTGCTGGAGGTGTCTGCAGGTGGTCACTGACCTCTGGTTGGCACTCACCCCCTCCCCCCACCCCCCGCCAACATCATCGTGGCTGCTTGTGGGAGCTTACCGCTTGCCGCCACCATGCTCCTGCCACCAAAAGCACCACTGCCACCTGCAGGAATTTGCCATGCCCCCCCAGCCTCTGGGGGCATGCAGCATTCATGCTACTGGATATTTTACACAAGTTAGAAGTATTTTAATTTCCATGTCATCAATTTACATTCTACCCCAACAAAATAAATACTATTTTTTTAGTATCTTATGGGAGAGTATCTAAGTCTAAAATTATTCCTCTAAACCCATTGTCTTCCTGAATAAATTTCAAAATAATAATAATAAAAAATCAGTGTTTCAAAGCACATTAGTTGTCATAGCAAAGACAGCAATAGTTGAAAATGTCCACAAACAATGAAATAAACTCCCTATTCAGTAAGCTGTCCCTTTACAATACAAGTTAGGATAAAGTGTTGAGGATCCTAAGTACTGTTACATACAATATGCCATAGTTTCATAGTTGGCAAGGTTGGAAGGGACCTGAGTAGATCATCAAGTCCAACCTTCTGCCACGGGCAAGAAAGAATGCTGGGGTCAAATGACCCTGGCAAAGTGTCTATCCAGCCTCCTTTTAAAGACCCCTAGGGTAGGAGCAAGCACCACTTCACTTGAAAGTTGGTTCCAGATCCTAGCTGCCCTGACTATGAAGTAGCACCTCCTGATATCCAGCCTGAATCTACTCTTAGACAACTTATGGCCGTTATTCCTTGTAACTCCCAGTAGTGCTCGGAGGAACAGGGACTCTCCCATTGCCTGCTGGTCTCCCTTGGCTTGTTTATAGATGGCCACCAGATCCCCTCTCAGCCTTCTCTTGTGGAAGCTGAACATGTTCAGGTCTCATAGGCTGTCCTCATAGGGCCTACTCTGTTGCCCCCAATCATGCGAGTGACCCTCCTCTGGACCCTCTCCATGTTGTCTACATCCCTCCTGAAGTGCGGCGCCCAGAACTGGACACAGTACTCCAACTGCAGCCTGACCAATGTCACGTAGAGAGGGAGGATCACCTCCTTGGACCTGCTCATGATGCATCTGTGCATGCATGACAAGGTGCAGCTAGCCTTCCTGACTGCATTCCCCACATTGGCGGCCCATGTTCATCTTGGAGTCTATAATGAATCCAAGATCCTTTTCTGCCTCTGTGCTAATAAGAAGGTAGTTCCCCAGTCTGTAGGTATGCTGCTGGTTCTTTCTCCCTAGGTGCAGTACCCTGCACTTGTCAGTATTGATTTCCATCTTATTCTCATTCACCCATCCCTGCAACCTGTCCAGATCCAATTGCAGCCTGTCCTTCCCTTCTAGCATGCCCACTTCTCCCCACATCTTAGTGTCATCTGCAAATTTGAACAAAGTGCTTTTCACCCCCTTGTCCAAGTTACTGATGAAGATGTTGAACAGTGTGGGCCCAAGGACTGAGCCCTGGGGGCCCCACTGCCCACATCCATCCAGGTCGGAAATGACCCATCCACCACCACTCTCTGGGTGCAGCCCTCCA